ACTCCTATAAATAATTAATTACTAATTAATATATTATAAAATTATTAATTAATAAATTATTAATTAAATACAAACCTATCATATTTGACGTTCCATCACTTTCTAAATAATATAATTTATTTGCAGGCAATCCTTTTTGTAAAATAAATGAATCAATTACTTTAAGTAATAATTCTGCAGAAGTATCAGATACTGCAGTAATTTCTAAATAACGTAAGGTTGGAATATTATTAACCATGTATTTTGAAACTAGAGCTAATGTTTTTTCACCTTTTGATACTATATTACTTTCATTTACTAATAAACTCCAACATGATGATGATTTTATTTCATTAATTACTGCTTTTTCGATTAGGCAGGTTAAAAATACTAATAATTTATGTCCACTAACTTTATTTATATATATTACATAATTAGATCTAGATGTTTTTTGTTGTTTAAAGTTAGTGGTCAAAGTACTTGTAAAGGAATATCATTAACCATAGAAGTAGGATGTTCTTTTTGATAATTAACTAAATTAGTTAAATCAGGATAAATATTAATAGCAATATTTTGTAAAGTAAGAAAATAAATATTGCGCATTTGAGTAACTACACTATCCATGCCTATTTCTAATATTTGATTTACATCCTCTTTAATACCAGTTTGGCTTAGATTAAGAATTTGCAAAGAATTTTTGTATTCAACTGAATTTTTGTGTCTTTTAACAAATTCTAATTTCATAGTATCATATCTTGATGTTTTCTATAAACTATTACCTTTTGCTTTTTGGCAAATAGTACAAAATATAAAATTTTTATTGTCAATAATTTGATATTCTAACCAAGGTTGTTCTATTTGCCAAGATGATTTAAAAGTTAAATTTTTTTTTTTAAACAATTAGAATTTTGATTTTTTTTTTTTTGTTTTAGTATATTGTAATTTTTTTTATTATTGCCATGATTGCAAGGACTACATCTAGAAGGAGTATGTAATGAATTAGGTTGTAGTATAGATAGAGGAGTAGTATCGGTTAAGTCAACAGATGTAAAAAAATTTGTTATTTATTGTGACATTTTTAATCAAAAACTTATTAAAATCACTAAAAAAATTATTTATTAAAATTAAAGTGAGCGATATGTAAAAAAAAATGTGTAGAAATAAATGCGAGAAAAAAAAAAGTGTTCTAAAAAATTTAGCAACTATTTCAAATCTGAATTGACATAACCAAATCATTGATTTATTAAATTACTATTATAACCCCACCATTCCATTTGAGAAACTAAATAAAAATAAATAGCATTAGAGTTATTTCATAATGCTATCATCACACCTACCATACTAACCAACTCAATTATATTTATTGTAAAGTTTATTTGCTCAAGAAGTCTAACATTTTACAAAAAGAAAGAATGTTGGAAATATTTCTTATTAACAACTACCTCCATTCACACACTCCTATTCACACACTCCTATTCACTTATTTAATTATTTTCATTTTAGTCTAGTGTTTTTACAAAAGAAGTTTTTTAGCATCCTAAAGAAAAAAAAAAATATTATTATATTTCCTTTAACGAAATTGATACCAACTCTTCTATGTACTTAAGTCGTTTAATCTAGTTGTCCAAACTTCAAAATTATAAAAGAGAAATTTTATATCATAAAAAAGTTCAGCCTATAAAAAAGAATAACGAAACAGCTTTTATTATACAATATATAGTCAACTCTTTCTACAACGAATTTTGATATAACGAATTTTACAATACAACGGATTTTCATTGTCGGACAGATTTTT